CCAATATTGTTATTCTTACCGCTATCAACTCTGTGGCATGTTAGCACTGCAGTGATGTTATGGAAAAGCCAATAACGATACTAATATGCAGCTCTTTCCAGCTGTTTAAAAATCATGTACCATGTGACCCACATTGTACAAAGTAATTTGTCCATGAGGGGGCTTTAAATCTCATGGGAAAAATCCCATTAACTTTTCATCCTTTTTTCCACAAACATTTTGAAGTCCTCCATGCCCTGTTATTTACCCCCAAAGGCCCTGTCAGCGGGAAGGAGCCACCCAAACTTAGACAGGTGGGGAGAAGTCCAGTCAGGATTTCGACCTAGTCCTTTAGCTCCCGGGCTGTTGGTTGCTGTGTGAACTGTGCCTGAGATGGTTTTAAGTCTTATGTGGGTTTTTTTGTTTAATATTTTCCCTAAAAGACACTGATTAAAAGAGGTTCTCAACCTGTGGGTGACAACCCCTTTGGGGGTCGAATCACCCTTTTACAAGGGTTACCTAAGACCATTGGAAAACACATAAATATTTCACAATAATGTTCAATTTGTAACAATGAAAATACATCCTGCATGTCAGATATTTACTTGATGATTCATAACAGTAGCAAAATTACAGTGATGAAGTAGCAACGAAAATAATTTTATGGTTGGAAGTCACCACAACATGAGGAACTGTAAGGGTCGCAGCATGAGGCAGGTTGAGAACCACTGGTTTAAAAGAATGAGGGAAAGAGCACGGTGACAGATTCTCCGGGATGTGTTATTAGTTTAGATCCGTGTGGCTGAAGAGATGTGTTCTTTCTGGCCGCCCGCCGTGTAACGTCCCAGGCGCACGCAGGGATGACTGCTCTCAGGAGACCTTCCCTAACGCTCTGCTGGCTGCTGTGGAAAGAAGTGCTGTTCGGCCGAATGCTGTCAGGCAAGGCAGAAGCAAAGAGACAGAGCTGGCGAGTCTGGTCCACTGCTGTGGACTTGGAGAGGAAAATAAGGGTCAGGGGTTCTTCCTCTATCCATTCATTCTGGTTGAGTTAGTTAGATCTCCTGACGTCACGTTCTCATTGTGAATCTGTGTCCAGAAGAACATGGGAGGGAACGTCAAGAAATGTGTGGACAAATGGAATTAAGAGATCATGACATTTTTCATAAACTTTTTGAAGCCCCTGGTCATGTTTGTTGGACTGGTTACTAGATAACTAGAGCTACACAGAAGTACAGCTAATGAATTCTACAAGTCTCCGTGAGTCATATTTCCGTAGTGCCGGGTGAGTGGACGCGCTCTGTTGGCGGTCCGCCTTCCCTGCCTCCTCTCCACTGCCCCTCACGACATGATTTCAGGCTCAGTTCCATGCACAGTAAAAGTCGCCCGTCCGTTCTCGGGCCGCCTGTGTCTCACAGTCAAATTAGACATTCTCAGTGTTGTTGGCAGTAATCTAGATTGCTCTCAATTCGTGGAATCTAAACACAAGGTCTATTTAAGTCTCATTTAAGTATAATGCCTATTTTACCCCATTGCTTCACTGAAAAAGCCAAGTCTCTCTGAGAAAATGATTGGAAGCCTTTTAAGTGTTGGTAGCTGGGCTCATATTTATCCCCAGGACCTGTGACCCCTTTTGGGTGTACTCTCTGCTGCCCTAGGCTTCCCCACTAACTTACTGTACAGTAGGGGGCGCGGGTGCTGCCACGCACCTCCTCACTGACTTGCTTGAACCTCAGCTTCCTCGTCTGTAAAGGAAAGGACTTGGTTTCAATGACGGACCTTTCTTCTTTAATGTCCCTCCAGGCGGAAGCCAAGCTAGCGCAGCCCGGGCCTCTGAGGTGTCCCTCTCTGTCTGTGGAGCTGGGAACAATGTAAAAGCCTGTGGTATTTTTATTCACTCAGCTCACATATAAAAGAGCCAAACTTTAAACCGTTGTAAGATTTTTAAAAATAGACCCACACGTTCTGTAATCCATTTTGCGTGGCAGCTGTGGTCCAGTCATGCGATCAGGTCTGTGCTTGGAAAGAGGAAAGTGTTGTGAGTGTGAGTGAGCACTCTGATAACCCTCAGAGCACGAACCCTGGCTCTGTGGCTCAGTGGGGTGAGTGGGGTAAGATGGGGTCTCCCCAGGAGCTGATGTGGGAGTGGTCTCTCCAGTCTTCATCGTGTGTGGGGACTGCTTGCAAGGAAAAGAGGGCATACTTAGGTCACATCATTGTAGACAGGTGCCTGCTAGACTCTGCGTGCAGTGTTGGCACGGTAATTCCCCATCATCTGAGAAGGCAGATGGCCCTGGTCCGTTCCTTACCCCAGGAGACTCAAACTCAGAAGGTCACACAGCTATTAAGTGTGGGGCTGAAGTTCAGGACGGGCTATCTGCTGTGTCGTGAGCTGCACGTTACAGAGTGAATCATCGGGCGGGGACATGAGGCCAGAACAGAGGAAGACACCGTGCCAGCACACTGGCCCCTGGGCACCCGCTGGTCTTAGTGTCTGAGTAAAATTAGAAGTGCTCTGGCTGAGGTAGGGTTTTTTTGCTGCTGCTGCTGGGGTGTGTGTGTGTGTGTGTGTGAGAGAGAGAGAGAGAAAGTTTAGACATTCTGCTTTCTGGGGCTTCACCCCTCATTGTTGTTAGTGCTGTTTATTAAAGTATTTTCACACCCAAAGCAGCCCCCTGAGCGACTAGTTGTGAACCCGGTTGTTGAGCCATTTAAGACAGGTCCTTTGGGTGGAGAATTGGTTTCTGGGAGAAGCCCAACCTGCTCCTTTCATTGTGGGGCCTGAACTGAAGCATGTCTGTTGATTCATGTGACCTGGCAGTTCCAGGAGCAGAGGGCCAGCCTGTGACTGAGCAGAGGACGCCTCTGTGGCAGATTCGGGGGACCCCGGAGGGAGAGCGGGCAGAGGGGAACCTCCCGTCTGGAAGTAAAAATGCTGGCATGTGGTGTGAATGTGGGTATGGGCTGTGCACGTGTGTGGGCACCTCAACTCCCTCCGATGGACTGAGGGTTTTCTCCTCGTCTGCCCTGTGCTGTGGAGGCTGGGGTGGGGGTGGGGGGGGCTAAGAATGTTCCAGGTGCAGGGAAGCAAAGTGTACCTGTAAATATTGCACCTTCTGGAACCAAACTGGGCTCTGACCAAGATAAAGCGTAATTAGATAACGATTGGCCATTAAACCATCTGATTATGTCAGGTGTCAGTGACCACAGTTTCCAGCTCTGGTCGCTCAGAGAGCGAGTGCCTGTGGGAGAGGGGTGGGAGCTTCACCAGGAAAGGTGCAAAGCCTCAGGAGCGTTTGTCTTCATGATCAGGTTTCCTGGATTTGCAAAACCGGCGTTGGATCAGTATTTGTTGGCCAAGCCACTAGCAAAACCCAAAGAGAAGATTTCCATCATTGTAAGTGCCTTAATTCCGTGTGCTCTTTTGTGTTCCTCAGAATGTTTGCAAAGTTGTTTTTAAATGCTTGTAATGTTCTAGATAGTTGAAATTAATACAGTAGTAATTTAAAAATACGAGAAGGAATTAACAGAGACGAATGCCTGTCATTCCATGGTTTATTTTTTAGAATATTAGTGCTTGAGTCAACAACTCCCACATGTGTGTTCTTGGCATGGTTGGTCTCCTGTAGACCCTCTTGAAGTGTAATGTACATGCTGGGTCAGTTCCACACAGTGAGCTGTACAATAAACCCAATCCAGATAGTTACAAGTTTTCACCCTGGCAAAGTACATGCATGCTCTCGGAATGAGGTCTTTTCCTGTGTGCTGGTGAATTGATCCTTAGTCAGAGAGCCGTCACGTCAAGAAAACCCACTGCTAACTCATCGCCCCTATGACCGCGTCGAACTGCCTTGCAGCGTCTCCAAGGCCATCGTCTCTGCAGAAGCAAGTGGCCACACTCTCACCTGCAGAGCGACTGAGGGGTTTGAACTGAAGACCTTTTTTTGGGTGTTGGCTGAGCACTTAAGCCATTGTCAAGATACAGGAACTTGTAAATAAAAGCTGGGAGTTAGCGGTGTAATGGGGCTATCTATCTGAGGACAACGTGATCATCGTGTAAGGGAACATGTTGGTTTCGTCCCAATTTCCATAGCTGATGGAGCGTGAACTAGCCGTCCGTTCCCAAGTAGCCTCTGAGAACGATGGTACTGCCTGCTGCTGTCCACATGACCATTGAGCACCTGCCCAGCTGCCTGCTGGCTCTGCAGGCAGCTCCCTCCAGGCTGAGGCAGCATCGGGTCTTAGCCTGCACTCTGCTTCCTGACAGACTTGCTGAAGCTTCAGTGTGGTGGTGGGGGCTTTGTTCCTTGTCCCCATGATGTTAAAACCTGGGAATCCACCGGGGGAAACCAGCAGGTGAAGGGCGGTGCCCAAGGGCCCCACTTCCCCTGGAGCCATTACAACAGAGCTGCTCAGTGCTTGGATCCAGCGTATTTTCATCTTCTGTTTCTGCCAGGTTTGTTTTTTTTTCTTTTTCAAATACTGTAGATGTGTTCTTTCCATGATATTTAAAGCACCTCCAGAGAATCCGAGCATGGCCCTGACCCTCCAGTTCTTAAAGGGGCCTTTGCTGTAGCCTGCTGGTTGTGGAGTGGAGCCTTTGAGGGACCCACAGGTCTCGCACAGACTGGGCTCCGTGTCCTGCAGGCAGGCTCCCCACACAGACGGGAGCTCAGGAGAGCGGCTGAGTCCAGGAAAGAGGAGACAGCTCGAGCTGGCTTGTGAGGCACAGTGGCCCATCCCACTAGTCCCCTGGGGGCCTAGAAGAGGCTCCAGCAGGTCAGCATGGTCTCTTTCAGCCTGTCACCAAGAGGTGGCTCCAGACAGTCCTGCTCAGAGCCTTCAGAGCGCTTCCTGCCCTGGGCCCCCTGGAGGAATGCTGGGGGTTCTCTCCAACCACCTTTGGGACTAGCCAAAAGCACCTCTGCAGTGTCGCTCTGCGCACCCAGCCCTTGCCCAGTAGGTGCTCCCTGTAGGAAGGGCAGGTGGGTGCTGCTTCCTTCCACCCCCTGTCTCTGCCCAGCCCTGCCCCCAGGCCGCAGCCCCAGCAGTCTCTTCCTTCAGCGCAGCCTCCCCTTGTCCACCACTGCTCTCAACTCCTGCTGTGTCTCCCTGACCGTTTGTTCTGTGAGCCAGTTTTGCCCTTCTACAGACCACCTGTGGATTGTCTTTTTGACTTCTTCCTAGATCGTTATAAGTCACTTAAATGATTTTTTTCTGCTCAAATTCAAGAAGATGGGCCTATTTCCTATATAAGAAACACAGCCCCCCCCCCCTCCCGTTGAAACCCCCGACATTAGGTCCTCATTTTTCCCCTCCCTCCCCTGCGCCCCCCCCCCCTCCCGCCCCTCCCACGTTTACTATGTTCTTTGATACCATTCGACCACCCTGATATGTGGATCTCAACCAAGGTTTATGAGACAGCTCCAGAGCCACCGAGAGCACAGGAGTGCCTGCAGGGCCTGTAGGAGAGGCCCACGAGCCCACCGTCCTCCACGGCCTGGGGGGTGTGCGCACAGGGTGCCGAGAACCAGGTTCAGTGCTGAGTGCCCATCACCAAGCACAGGGAAGCTGAACAGCGGGAACTGGCGGGCTGACGGAGAGCTCCTTTCCCTGCCCCTGAGAAGCCCGGCCATCGAGCGCGAGCCCAGCCTTCTCTACAGTGCCGGGCACAGCCCGTGTGACTCAATATCCACTGGCTTAGCCTGCCAAGACTCCGGAGGCCGACTATCCACAGGCACTCTGTAGACAGGCCAAGTGCCACACTCCTCAGCACGCTGTGCATTGCAGCGGAGCGGGTCTGCAGTGCACGGTGCCTGGACGTTTGTCCCTGGTCAGGAAGGGGAAGAATGGGGACTTTCTGTGGGCAGGCCTAGCTGCCCGGGTGGCTGTCACTTGGAAACAAGAAGTGAAAGAGCTTGTGCAGGCGCAGACCCACAGGAAGGCAGCTCTCCGGCACCTCCTTGTGAGGCCCGCCTCTGCACGGACACTGCAGACAGATGAGCCGTTTTCATTTAGGAAGCCGGAACAGTTCTCCGCTGAGTGGGGGCTGGGCCAGTGGCTCACCTGCATGCGTTGCCACCAGCCTCCATGAGCCACATCCCGAAACTGAGGGTGCGTGTGCAGAAAGGTCTGACCACTACTTGGCCTATTGAGACATCAAGCGTGTACCTCTGTTTTATAAAACTGTCCACTGCGATGCACTGGGACTTTCAACAAACAGACCAAAAGGAAGCCCTCCTCACTCGTAGCTTGAGAGGCACTGAGCTGAGGAGAGGGTCGTTGTGTTCTGTCCACACCCCTGGGGAGGAGCGTGAACAGGCAGCAGGTGTCCCCTCCACAGGCTGAGGTGCCCACGTGGGGAGGAGAGGGTTGGCCACAAGTGGGTGTGTAAACTACAGCATTTGATGGGAACAGGAAGTATTCATGTACTGCCGAAAGAGGACCCTCCAAAGCTGTAATTCCCGCTTTCCCACGTGATCCCACTGGCTCCTCTGGACTATCTTGTAGGTCGGCGATTACGGCCCGATGTGGGTGTACCCTACCTCCACATTCGACTGCCTGGTAGCAGACCCCAAGAAAGGTTCCAAGATGTATGGGCTGAAGAGCTACATCGAGTACCAGTTGACACCCACGGTGAGTACCCAATGACGGGAGCAGCCGGCTCTCCCTCCATTTGCTAGCAGGGCCATGTGTAACAGTCTTCTCTTGCCCTCGTTGCCCAGAACACCAATCGATCGGTGAATCACAGGTACAAGCACTTTGACTGGCTGTACGAGCGTCTCCTGGGGAAGTTTGGGACAGCCATTCCAATCCCGTCTCTTCCAGATAAGCAGGTCACAGGTGAGTACACTTCCCGGGGGACCCAGGAGGACCAGGAAAGAGGCTCCCCAGGAAAATCACCCTCCTGTCAGTCAGGAATGGCATTTCCCACCTAGAGCTCAAGGTAGGAGCTTGACGACAGTGAAGAAGCCAACCCTGAGGCAGGGACCATGGCACAGTGCACCTGTGTGCTGAGAGCCACCTGCCGAGAGGGTTCCCCGCACTGTGTGTCCATGAAGGAGCCCCACAAAGTCTGTGAGGGAATGCCACTGCCTTTCATCCTTTCCCACGACCCCCGGGAAGCTCCCGGTGTGAGTGTGTGTGTGTACCTGCATTGTACTCAGACAGTCATGGAGACTGTGTGAGCAGTGCGATGCTGTCCTTGTTGCTACGCTTTTTCCTACAAAAGACATCATGTGAGTTTTTTTAATCGTTTTATTAGGGGCTCATACAGCTCTTATCACAATACATACAGACATCAATCGTGTAAAGCACATTTGTACATTCATTGCCCTCATCATTCTCAAGACATCCGCTCTCCACCTAAACCCCTGGGATCAGCTCCTCATTTTTTCCCCTCCCTCCCCACTTGCCCTCCCTCATGAACCCTTGATAATTTATAAATTATTATTTTGACATATCTTGCTCTGTCCGACGTCTCCCTTCACCCATTTTTCTGCTGTCCGTCCCCCAGGGAGGAGGTCGCATGTAGAGCCTTGTAATTGGTTCCCCCTTTCCAACCCACCCTCCTTCTACGCTCACAGTATCGCCACTCACACCACTGGTCCTGAAGGGATCATCCACCCTGGATTCCCTGTCTCCAGTTCCTATCTGTACCAGTGT